TTGATGGTTAATAGTGTAAATCAGTGCATGTAAATTTTATTTTTAATTTAATTATTTGATAATAAAAAGTATCCATTGTAAGTATTTTTAACTTAATTATATTTTTATTTTCTCTAATTTAAAATTGATATGTATAATTTTGTACTCTCAAATTTTGTTTGAGCTGATTTAATCATCTTGCTTTTAAAAATAAGTAAAATTTTCCCTTCAATTAATTTTTCTAATTAAAACTTTCAAATAATTATTTTATATTTAAATAATTTAGGGTTCAAGATGAATATAGCATGTGTAATAATTCTAAAAAGTTTATAAATAAAAAAATCATTGAAAATTTAATAAAATTTTGTAGGGTGAGATTAAATTCTAAAGAAAAATTTTGAAAATTATTATTTTGAACGAAACTTAATGTTTTAGTTTATAAATTTTTAGTAAAATACTATTTTAAAAAATCAATCAATTCATTTTATAGTGATTTTGACAAGTTTTAGAAAGAGAACAAAATTGTTTAATTTTAAAAATATAGAGACTTAATTAGTTTAAAAGATGGAAGAGAAAAATGAAATTATACATAATTCAAAATGTAGTTATAAGTAATTTTTGATCAATTGCAATTCTGAATTCTTAAATGATGAGTGGAGTGTGGGGCAACTTATTTGATGAGTCCAGGTGGTGGTGAAGAGTCTCGCGGACAACCACGTGACCCAGCCAGGGTGGTGCTGCGGTAGCACCGACAATGGCTTCTTCGGCGACAAATTTTTTGAGCCCAACCAGTGGATCTTGGGCCTCACCAACATGGCCACCGTTTTCGAATGAGTCACTAATATGGTGAGCATAAGCTTGAGGAATGAGCTCGGAGGGCCCAAACAAGACGTCAACGATTGGTATAGGTAATGACTAACAACTACAGCTCCACCTGCCAAAAACACCTTTTCAAACCATAGAAAATATCTACCAAAAACACATGTCACTAACAACTGCCTCATTGTACGCTGACTACTTGTTTGTTAGACCCATTTTTTAATTATGTTTAAAGTTGTAATTGCGGGTTGAAACTTGAAATAACATGTGCACAACAAAATTAGGTAAAATATTGCTTTCACATGCATCATGCATCGGTATACATTCAATACGTTTAGATATAAAGTTATAAATATTTTTTTAGATTTTTTTATCATAAATAAAGAATATTTTATTTTTGATAGAAAAACTCTAAAAACAAAACAATTTCTAAATTTGTATGTAATTAAATAGGCTCATTCAACTTTTTTTTAATTTATTGTTTACATTGCTTTTTATTTTTCGATTATCATGCATTAGAGTAAATACAATTTAAGTTCAAATTGGATATAATTACTTTCTCCTAATTTATTCCAGCATAGTCATTTTCTTAAACTTATGTGATCACTAAATTAAATAACTATTTTTTAAAAAGAAAAAATTGTGAAGAACAAATATAAAAATGAATAGTTTGTAAAGAATTAAAACAATATTTTTATCACCAAGATGATAATATTATAGCAATTCAATCAGTTAAGTACTATTTGGAAAAGAAAACAAAACGTGGAAGTAGTGATGTCTTTGTGATGGAGGGACAAAAGTAAAACAATGTCTTACTTGAAGGAAAAATATTTAAAAAATAAAGAAAAAAATTCTCTATAGATAATAAGTTGTTGTTCTGAATTGAAAACACATGGTGAAAGGAGCAGAAACAGTTCATGCAATAAATCCAAAGGTTCTAGCCATTTTATTTTGTCTGAATTTTGACATAGACTTATCATTCATTTAGGATTGACCAATGAGTCTCGCGTTCAAAGGAAAGCTAGTATTTGAGGTGCACATGTATGGCTTCACTGATGGTCAAGCTTGGGTTGATGGGAACCCAAACAAAGTACGTGGAGAAGTGACAGAAAATATAAGGGGAATGTTTGACTTCTTATTGGACAAAGGATAACCATTATTTGTGAGTGAGTTTGGTGGAGACTTGAGAGGTACCAACATAAATGACAATTCATATCTAAACTATTTTATGGCATTGCTAGCCAAGCTTGACTTGGATTGTGCCCATTGGACACTTGTTGACAGTTACTACTTTAGAGAAGGGGTTATAGGAATGGAAGAGTTTTATGGGCTTTTCACTTGAGATTTGACTTAGGTTAGAAGTACCAATTTCTTAAATAGAATCATTGCCCTCCAAGATCCATTTCGAGGCATGATTATGACCATAACCACTAATCAAGACCTTTTTGTACTCTCTAATTTAGCAATACATTATTTTTCTAACACTATTATCGACTATTTATTAAAAATTGTAAATTTTGGTATATCTTTTGGTGAGTTATTTTTTTATTTCTAATAAATTTTAGTTAATAATAAATAGTGTGAGAAAATAATGTTTAAAAGAGGATGCTAGTATTTCTCTCTTATCTTTTGCTAATTTACTCACCCTTTTTCTATTAAAATTATTTTTGAATGATCCAGTTTTACACATAGCCACATAATTTGTGCAAATGTTATTTTCCCAACTATGCACTATTAGTTGGTTTCATAATATCATTATCACTAATTTAGCTTTATATTGTTTGACATTGTGCAAAAGCAAGAATTATAAGAGGCAATCCACATGAATTGATATTCCACCCTTCGATAGGTCTTTACATCATAAGTGAATACTGGGGCCTTGTTCTTTTTCTAATGGTTGGACATACACACCCTAAAAGACTCTATTGATGAACAATACAAACTCTTGCATATATGCAAAGAAAGAAAAAAAAAGTTTGCAACACTTAGCACGACATGTTCAGCTCTCAACTCTAAATGGAAAATTATCTCATATTCGAGCATGCACCTTTCATCTAAACTAAGTGATGGTTTTAATGTGTATCTAGATGTAGATGATAACGTCATCGTGACCAATGCTTATAATTACTTGAGTAAAGATGATAAATGTGACCTTGAAAGTCAATGGTTCAAACTTATTGACAATGAAAGGAGGTCAATCTCAACAATCTCAACATTATCCATGTTGAATTCACCATACCATTTATGGAAACAATTTAACTCAATATAAGTTTCTTTTAAGAGCTTGTGTGAGGATATGATGTTGTGCTTGTTACATTTTTGGTTTATGTATACTTATCAATATGTATAATATAAACTACACATATTTATAATAAAAGGATCATAACAACTAAATAATAAGATAAACATTATTTTCATTGAGATAAAATGAGATAATAGAAAAGGATAATATGTTCTATCAACTAAGCTAAAAATATTTAAAATATTCTTCTAAGAAAATGATAATAGAAATAAATTTATGTTATTATCACTTATTTATTACTCCCCTTAAGTTTGAATGTGAAAGGGAATAAACACACAATTTCAATGGTAATTCTTGGACATATTTTTGGATTCTAATTCGTTCTTGAATCTAAATGAATTTGATGATTTATGAGTTAAATTAAGATCGAGTCAATTTTAGATGAGACCAATTCATCCCAAAATATAAGAAACTTAAGCTCTCATTTCTAATTAATGTAATTGAAATTATAAATATAATTTGTATCTCATTATCATACATGATATTTTGTAAATTAAATAATGATTACTAATTGTTTTGATATAGAGGATTGCTTCTAGAAAACCCTAATTACTATCTAAGTCCAAAACATTTGAGCGAGTTGTATACAGAGAAGCCTTAACCTACCCTTATAAGGTTTTTCCAAGGTTTATTGCAGCTTTGAGAATACTAGGTTGAATCATTGGATCTTCTTCTTAATGCCTTGATAAGTAATTGACTTGATATACCAGCTAAGGTCATATATCCATAAACTTACCAATAGGGTACGTCCCAATACTCATACCGAGAGGGTACACTTATAATCCCTAAAAAATAATTGACATTAATGTGAAAAATATGGACAAAAAATTGTACAACAAAAATATAATAATAACTAATAAAGCTAAGAGGGAGCAAATATTGGATTAAATTGGAATATGTTTCTCCCTAACTCTTTTCTAAACTTTAATTAAGACGCATTTTTAGATCTTAACCCGTTCTTAAACTTAAACAAACTCGATAATCAATAGATTAAATTAGGATGAGCATGTTCGAGTCATTAGATCGGGATTGAGTCTTCCTCGCCTCTAGTTTCTTCATGTCTTAATTTTTAAAGGTGTCATGTGTCATATATATATATATATTCTAGCATTGCAAAACTTACCAACCCAAAACTTCATGATGGATGCTATCGGGGACAGTCCACAATGAATTGTATCCATTAGATTCATCTCATTACAAAAGTATGTAATACACCTATCCATAAAAAAAAAAGGCACCTATCCAAAAACACAATGGTCTTTCACACACCAACACATCTACTTTAGCTTCTTCCATTCATCCTTGTAGATTGGATTAAGCTTTGTTCTCTAGCTCTCAATTTTCATCTTCACCTTGTTGCCTTGTTGTTACTATCTAACCACCATCTAACGTTGAACTTGTGGAGATCCATGGTTGGTTCCAGGCCTAAAGATCATGTGTGGCCCTCTAATTAAGTTTGAGTTTTCACCATGCGATGCTCCGATTTTCAATTTAGCAGAGAAAGTTATCGACAAGGTGCCCCAGTGTGGAGGTAGACAATTGGTTATTAAAAAAATAAAGAATATACAAATAAGTCCTAACCTAGTGTAGATGGATATACTATATATTTTATAATGAGATAAATAAAATACATACAATTCATGGTATACTCTGGACCACATGTAAAACTGGTCCACAGTACCTACCGTCAAACTTTATTAATAAAATTCACTAAGTTTGTTTACGCAAATCCTTTACATACTTCCATTACTAAAAAACACTTTAACTCCTCTTAAAATTCAACAAGTTTCTATCCGTTAATGACATCATAAAGTGACACCAATACTTTTAACTACTTTAACACTCAAACTACAAAAAGTTTATACCTTTCTTGTAATAACTTGTAGCTTGTGATTCATCTTATGAATTTGTTAAACTTTTGTAATTATAACATTTTCAAACATGATAGGTTAAAAGTACATGTGATAAAATAGTATTGACAGACAATATCAAGTTGCCAATATGAAATTGACTAATTAAGTTATGAATAGAGTATAATAGAAGTTTTATGCACTTGTGTGATAATTGATGAAAGGTATAAATTCGAAAAATTCTTTATCCAGCATTACATTTTCTCCTTTGTTACTTTATGTGGTATGAACCCAAACACAAGTAAGGTAGAAATTCAACCGAAACTGGCATCAATAACTATATAAGAGGCCACTAGTACTAACTAGCAATCTAGCACTCACCAAACCTAAATTCTTTAACTCATCATTGCTTCTAAACATTATCTATTGATTCTTCCTTTGTTGTATCCTTAATTTTCGTCAAAGAAAATGGCAATGTACCCTAGAAAATGCAATCCCGACCTAGCTACCATATTTTTTCATCATGAGATGACACTACATGTCTACATTAACCAAACATATTTGTACCACTCATGTTGCTAGTCACATTCATGTTAGACCTCTTTTAGTGTTATTCATGACATTTTTCACTATGCTACCTGTTGAGATTTTCGTTGAAGTACTTTTGTTATAATTGTACATAATAAGCTGTGAACAAGTGCACATATCTTAAAGGTGTTAATTCATGGTTATGGGCCACTTCAAAACATGTCACTGTCCATATTGATTTCTTTAAGTTATAGTGTACACAAAGCCTAGCTTGGCACTCAACTCATGTAATATGTCTATGATCTCTTTTCCTATCTACCCTTTTGAAGTTCTTTTTGTTTCTCAAACCTTACCTTTTACATACAAATTTCCGCATTAACACTTTTCCATTGACATTATGTTTCACTTCATCTTTTCTTACCACAAAACCACGACATTTTGCATATTTCTCATAAAAGTCATATGCTTCCTCTTCACTTCCAAACTTTAGCCCATATATCTCATCAATCGTCAAGCCTATAATTTTTTTAAATTCAACATCTCTTATGTTCATGTTTGAATTCACATTCTAATCACACTGTATATTATGATACATACTATCACTTTCATCAGATTCTTTAGAAGAAACAAAATGCTTAACATCTCCATTATCACTTAAATTAACGGCCGACAGATCATCAAAGTTATCCATCAAATGTAAAGTTTACCCTCCATTGTTTGAGAGCTATTAGAAGCTATCACTTGTCAAAAACTCATAACTATTAGGTGTTTAATGCATTCAACATAATCAAGTAGCAAAAGAGAAACAAAAATAGATTAATATGAATAAGTTAATCACTACAAGAAAAACGCAAATTTTTGACGGGAAATTTTCGATGGATATAAATCCATCGAAAAATATAAATTTTCTAATGGATTTATATTTCCGTCAGAAATTTCTGACAGAAAATATATTTCTGTAAAAAATTTCTGACAGAATTTTCTGACGGATTATCCATTACTAGAAAAATTGTATTTTAAGTCGATTATTTTGTCATATCTACATCGGTTCTGAAACTGACTTAGATGAGGGCGAAGTAGATGAATGGACATATTTACATCGGTTACGTAAAAACTGACTTAGATATATATGTTGATCTAAGTCAATTTTCATAAAACAGTCTTAGATGTATATGTTGATCTAAGTCGGTTTGTATTGAAGGCTGACTTAGATGTATACATACATCTAAGTCAGTTTTTGTTAAGAACCGACTTAGATGTATGCATACATCTAAGTCAGTTTTTATTAAGAACTGAATTAGATGTATACATACATCTAAGTCAGTTTTTACGTCGTCCCCAAAGTCCTCATTTTGATGTCTCTAGTGTCACCTTAAATGCTGCATACCTTGACCTTGGATATCTACTCAATGCTGATCTAACCATGCTTGCTAACTTCACAAATCCAAACAAGAAGGTACACGTGGACTTCAGCTCCGTGATCATCTATCTCTACTATGGAAGTACCCTCATTGCCACTCAATATGTTGAGCCCTTTTCGGCTGCAAGGCTTCAATCAAGGTTTGCAAACATCCACATGGTCTCTAGTCAAGTTCAGCTGCCATTAAGAGAGAGCCAGCGCCTTGTTAAGCAAATGGAAAGCAATGGCGTTTTGCTTGAAGTCAGAGGAGTTTTCCGTGCAAGGTCCAAATTGGGAAGCATCTTGAGGTATTCATATAATCTCTATGGCCGTTGCAGCGTCATGCTAACACGCCCCCCTGACGGAATTTTGCTCAAAAAGAAATGCAGAACGAAACGCTGAAGCTATATTTTATCACCACAGATGCTACTGTATGTCATCGTATTCTTTTTTAGTCCTTCAAAACTGGGGGGTTTTCATCTTACTAATTTGCCTCTTCCCCTGAAAATAACATCTTTGAAGGTTAGCCTTTTTCTTTTTACCCCCCGCTACATTTAATTTTCTCTCTAACCCATCCCATTGTTCTGGTATATGTGTGTGCTTCCTTTCACTTTCTAATGATTATTATATAGTTCAATATCATTTTGAGTCTATAACCTTAGTTAATCTGTTGAGATACAATCAAAGTTTTGCATTAATTGAACAACAGAAATATGGATTTTTAAACACACAAAAGCTTTCATTAATATGAAGCCTTTCGGGTGATGATAAAAAATAAATCCATGATATTTTAAACTCAAATTGGACAATATCATATCAATATGAAAACTTATGTTAAGCATGGTACACTGTTAAGTCTTAATTATACTTCTTTTGGACAAGACTTAATGAACAATTCCACTCATTCTTTGAACCATTACAACATCATTGTTCTCTTTTTGATTTAGTTTCTATGCAGATATAGCTAACCCAGAATTTAGCTAACAATACCTTAATACACCTCATTTTTTGTGCAAGTATTGAGCTAGAGAATTGAAGATTGAAGACCCTTAGGATTGGAAATCTAAGGAGCTAAGGAGCAGAGCAAAGTAGTTGCGCCGGGCGCAAGATGACCCACGCCGGGCTTGAGAAGAACAGAGTGTTCCACCTCTGCAAGTCACACCTGCGCCAGGCGCGAGACTACCCTCGCCAGGCGTGATCGAGACAGAGAGTACCTCAAACTCTCTGGAAGGTATTGCACCGGGCGTAAAAGGAATTGCGCCGGGCATGTTCTGAGGCAGAGAATACTTGACCTCACTGGAAGGCCCTGCGCCGGGCGCAAAGACTTATGTGTCGGGCGCGTAACCCTTATCTGACTCCCCAAGCTCGTATTTGAAGCGAGGCTTTGCTCCTCATTCACACATTGGGCGTGTTTTAGGAGCTGTGGAAGGGATTCCCGGAGCTTGGAGCCGTTCGCGTGTGGGCCTTTCCTTCGGTTTCTTCATTCTCCCCTCATCTCTATTTTGTATTTACCCTCATTGTTTTGAGTGGTTCTACCCATTTTTTGTGGGGTTAGATGTAACCAACGTATTCTATTGTAATCCTTACGTTTTCAATGATATATATATATATGTTGTTCATTCATTGTTGTGTATGTTTCTATTCTTAATGCTTGCTTTGGATTGATTCTCCTTGCATGATATAGGTTCCATTGGGTATTGGAAAATAACCATTGAAACTAGCTCTGAAACAAATGCCTAGTGGGAAATGTATCTAGGAATGGAGCTTGGCCCATTAGTAGTCTTAAATCATAGTCCGTAATGCGGGTGTAGATATTGGGTACTCAAGGGATTGATATTCAATATCCGCACCTAGGCTCTTGCTCTAAGGGATTAGGTTTGAGTAAACTTATGGGTTGACTAAGTAATGTATGTAACAAGAGATTAAGGATTCATTAGTATAATGTTCAGTGAAATCTGACCCCACAATCTCACAAAAACCATTATACCATGTCTAGCATTTTCCACTCATAACCAAACAAATTTTATAGTTTAAACATTCCAATAGTCATAACTTTCAATTTACACTTGCATGACAAACTATGAAATTGAAATTATTCTTTAGTCACGAATAGTCAATAAATGCTTATGTTACCTTCTAATCCCAGTAGATACGATAATTTTACTACTTGAACGATCGGTATACTTACCGTGTTTGAAACCATTGATAGAATTAAACTGATTTACAATTATAACAAAAGTATTTCAATGGAAATCTCAACATACACTACACAATATTTATGTATTGTAAAAAAAGTTAATAAAAGTATGTTACGTGAAGATTAATTGCATAATAATCTCTATAATCTTTTTGCATTTTGGTTCTTAATTAACTTGGTTATTAAGGTTTTGAAAATTTACAAAAGGACAACAAGGGCAAATGAGTACCATGAAGGGCGGTGCCCACCAATCTGCAATTTGATTTAGCTAACATTCTAGATATATTGTACCACAATTAATTAAATTCTCGATGAGGTTTTCTTATTCTGAAGAATAAATCTCTCTTAGAATTTTAACGCTATAACTTAATCATGTTTTCATGTTTTAGTCACATATATGTTGCAAATGATTGTGTGGTGAAGATGTATGTGTCATAACCATGGGAATACTAGCATGCTCTCAAGATGTTCATGGGTTGCAAAGGTTGTGATAACATTTGTAGCATTTGAGCCAACTTTTGGGGAGTTTTGGCTGGTGACTCGACTTTATGCCACCAACCGTCTTGTTAAGTTTGTTGCAATGTTGAAGCACATCCATCAAACACTGAAACAAAGGGAAGATTTGGGACCAAAGTTCGAAATAACCAACAATCTTTTAATTGGATTTAATAAATTACATCGTTCAATTCCATGAGCTTCCCTCACAATATATTGACTTTAAGGCCCCAACGATCTTGACTACCTCCACTCTTATTCTCGATGCTATCTATTGTATTGTGACTCGTGTGTCGCATATTTTAGGCATAATTAACTAGGGTAAAGGGTATACGTCCATTAATTACACATTATAATCATCACAACTTTATTTTGGTAAGTCTTGTTGATCTATTCTTTTTTAAAACCAAAAAATCTTTAATCAAAATTTGTTTGTTTTGTTATCATTATTATTAACTTTTCTTTGGTTGATTTTAGATACATGACATCAACAACAGAGACTTGGGAGCTTTCCAATTTGGCCCATAGGCTTGATAACATAAATAATCACCTATGAAAGCAACTCGCCTTTGTCAACAACTTTTAGGTAGATCAAACTAATTATCGAGTTACATTATATATGCACTTCAAAAGAAGAATTGTCCAGTTTTCTTTTGTCTGAAATATCTCTAATCTATTTTATCTGTTATATATGACTCGTATGAAAACAAACAGATAGAAGCATTTAAAATACTTCGGATCCTTTTTCAGATCCCCACCAAGATAATTTTAAGGTTCTCAAAACCTTGATTTCCAAGAAGGATGGTTTGTTACCACTTTTTGATGGTTCTTCCAAACAAAAAGTTAACCTTGAATTCCCTCTCATTCTTAATCTTTAGTATATGGATATATTATATGTTGTGATATTTGTCTTCATATTAGCATTGAGGTGTTGAGGAAGAAAATTGTGCTACTCTACATAATAGACCTACACAACGTCTCTAATCAAGAGTTTGTGATTTTTGAACAAATGTACCTATAGTCACGTGAAAATTCATTTAAGTTAGAGAATCAATACGAACTATTTGGACTCGAGTTGTGGAAAAGGCAATCCAATGGTTTAAAGTGAAAATGTCATAGTACTTACTTTATGACCCTTCTCTTTTGGAGCATGCAACCATCATATACATGAAGAAGGTATGACATTTCAAAATGAAGCCAATCCTTGTAGTGTTGGATCCACAAGGAAAGGTAGTGAATCTTAATACAATACCCATGATGTGCATTTGGGGTAGCTTATCCTTTTCCCAGCTCAAAGGAAGAAGCACAGTGGAATGAGGAAACATGGGACCTTGCACTATTGGCTGATACAATTTGATCAGTCACTTTTGGATTGGGTTAGTTCAAAACATTCTTTTATCTTTATTTTTTATATATGCATATTTAATCATGCAATATAGTTTTAAAGTGTAATGTAAGTCCAACTTGGGGAATAAAACATCTATGAAAATATCACAGAAAAAGCAAAACAAAAATTAAAATGAATATTCTAATTGTCATAGAGCCTATGGTGTGATACGTTTGACTTCGAGTATAGGATTTAGGGTTTAAGGGAGAACAACCCAACTATAAGGGAGTTAAACTATCTTGCCAAAGATGTAGGAACTAGCTCGAGGGTCATGAAAGATAAATCATCCGACATAGAAAAGGAAAAATTTGCCAAAGAATTAGCCACCCTTTTGGCTTCCCGCAAAACATGATTAACCTTAACTAACCACTCTTAATTAATTAATAAGTGACCCATACAAAGGGTATGGTAAAGAAGATGATCCACCTAAGTAACTAGAGACCATGGTTATCTTGGATGACTCCCCCACACCCAACTGAGAAGCCACTACGAACAACCCCATCAACATTGTATTTGACCCAAACCAAGAGGAAGAGGACTCCAAACTTCTGAACTGGCAACCAAATGATACTAAACTATTTTGAACTTTGCTTTATAAATGATTTGAACAATATTTCAACTCCGATTTGAGAAGACCAATGCATTCCGGGCATGCCAGATATGCCACAAAACAATTTGAAACATAAAACTTCAATGAGGCGATTCAAAAAAAGTATTTATTAAAACAATTCCAAACATAAAATTCAATCTGACTAATATTTTTATCTACAAGTCAATTCCTAAAAAATATTTTATTGATATTTTATAAATATTCATACTGCTTCAAAGACATCCGAGAGAAAATATTGTCAGAAAATCAAAAATCAAATGTTTATTACTTGTTTAAACTTGCTTCAATAAATCTAGCACTTATATACTTTCAGGGAAATATTTTTTCCAATGCAGTCGTCCAACCGATGGTTTAAATATCTTTAAAGGTTAGTTAAGATCTAAGACATCTTTTATCAAACTTTTCAGCTCTCGACTCTATGGTCACTATGAAGGAAACTAAAGGAAAAAAGAAATGTTTTTAGTATGTATAAACTTATCAAATCATTTGTTATTCAGAAGGAATAATTCAGAATTTGAGGATCTGGATACAACTTGTCACAAAAATTGCTCAATAAGACTTACTATTTCAATTTGACTAATTTCCAATTGTTTTAACTGTTGAAAGATTAAAATTAAAAAACAAAACATTGTCGATCACAAAAGTTAAACTTATTTTGAGTGCAAGACTAAAATTAAAACAAAACATTGTCGATCACACTCTTATTTTGTTAGAATGTATTTTGGGGGTGTTTATTTTGTTAGAATGTATTTTAGGGGAAGTGTGACACATTGGATGGTGGCATGACAAAAAATTTTTATATCCTGATTGGAACTGAGGATATTTGACACATGTATTAAGTTATCTTTCATTAGATTGCCTAGACTTTTGACTGGTCATTGTTTCCTGTAAGAAATTTATAGCTTAGTCAGAAAATTATAACTTCCAGAAATAAGAGAATAATGTTATGTTCACTGGTCAAGATAATTAATTGTAAGTTTAGGAGCCATTTTCTCCAACAAAACAAAACATAACACACGGCTTTATCTGTATAAATTATTGGTAGATAGAGATAGAATTGAACTATTCTATTTGATCATGCAAACTCAATCTATTTTAATCGATGGCCAAGAGTGATACATATTCCTTGAGCAAACAATTCATATAATCAATCAGGCAAATTAGCAACATGGTTTTTTTCTAATATAAAACTATTCTACAAATTAATAGTTAAACAAATAATGAGAAATTATACATCATTGAGGTGAGGATTGGATAGCACTGGAAACAGAGTTCCATATGTTACCAAGAGGGGCAATGACATGAGGCACAAGAGCCCCAATTCCTTTTAGGGCAGCACCGGATGCAAGCCCAATTGCAAAAGTTTCAATATACCCAGGCTTAGAATCAAGCTTCATGTCTAAAATAGTGAGTCTATTACTAATTGCATCAATCTTCCTAGAAGACTCTGTCAATAGCTTATCGTGTTTACCTCTACCAGAGGATACAACCGAAAACAACGCCTTCTGAAGATCCTCAATGACCTTCATTGAGGCTTCTTGCGAGTCCATACCCCGTGACTCATAGTGCGATATCAACTCCTTCGCCGTTGGTAGCTTCATTTTTTTCGATGGTTTTGGTCCAGCCGTCGGTAAAGTAATATTTGGAGATTCCATTTCTACAATGTTTCTCTTGCTCAGTCACACATTACATTCATTAACCTAGCACACAACGTTTAGCCAATAATTAGTGTTTATTGCATCAGTCAAAAATCTCATTTTCCATTTCTCAATTTCAATAATTAATTCCATAAAATCGTCATTTACGACACTATTTAATTATTCATAAACCAAAATTGCGATAAATGTGTAACGGACTTATGTACCAGTAGACAGGTAGCATAGTGTAGATTAAAGAAAATTACACCACGCTGTTTAAAACTGGTTATTCAGAGAAAATTTATTTATATATGCTTCGGAAACAAGAACATTCCCATGGAGAATAAGGAGGGTTCACCAGATGAAGCAACAAGAAAAATCAAGATTGAATTAAAGAAATGGAACAACGCGACTTTCGAACAGAATACGACTGAAATTACACGTATCTATTTTTAAAATGTCGACGTTGAAATTGCTTTACGCTTTCGTTGACGCGTCCTTCATTATTGGAAAATAAAAAGAACGCAACGCCTATCAAAAGCGACAAATGAAGAATACATAGTTCAGGAAGAAAAAAAATGAGTAAACCCTAAAGAAGAAAACATACTCGAACAGAATTCGGTTGAAGATAACTTGGTCTGGCGGCGCTAGGTTTATCTATTTCGGTTCCGAAGACGTTTCAGCCTATGCTTTTATAAAGAAACAGAACGAAACTACGTCGGTAGCTAGATGGGCTTTTTAACCCTTTGATGTTTTGGACCCAAAATAAAAATTCTCTGAGGTCGAATTCGAATATTTCATATAATTTAGTTACGCTAAAATCTTATATTGTTGCCTATTAATGCTTATGAAGAAAGATACACTTTTTACATAATAAATTTATACAAAAAAAATAATATAAGAAAATTTATTTCTTAAAATATCTGCACTTAAAACCTAAACAAAACAAAAATATAATAAATCATATTTATTTATAAATGTTCGTAAATATTAATAAAATGTTGCCTGTCACTGCCTACGAGGAGATATAGATACATTTTTTATGCATAATAAATTAGTATGAGTTAATTCGTATGTTTCTTTTTTATTCATTTTTATATATTATTTGAATTAAAATGTAGTTATTTTCTTAACATATATTTTATTTAAAATTATATATAAGTAAAATAAATATTTTAGAGTTGGGCAAAATTTATTGTGAAATTTCAAATCTCGGTCAGAATTAAGTTATTTATATATATATATATGTTCGCAATGAGGATTGAACCTAAGTCCTCATGTTTCTAACTGCCTTAATCCCTCCCACTCAACCACTAGGCTAACCCTAGTGATTATATATTGATGTCGTTTGAACCCATATATATATATATATATATATATATATGTTATTTTATATATTAAATTGTCGTTATTAAATCAGACAAATAAAATTCATGACATGAATGGCGTATAATTAGTATATAGATTTACTAAAAACAAATTTTACTATAGTCATTTTTTAGCACAGAGACCAAAAATAATGTTATTTTTTATTTTATTTTAAGGACTAAAAACAAACATATGAAAATCAATTTAAACATAGGATATTTTAAACATTATAATGCAATTTATTTTAAAATCCTTTTCCTTTAAATCTCGCCAATATTAAAATATAACTAAAATTAGATTTTGATAGATTTTATTTCTCCTTGTTACACTTCTAAAATTAAAATAAATAAATAAATAAAAATTCCCCTCTCCATTGTTCTTCAATCAAATATTATGTTAAGCAATAATTTTTTAAAATAAAAATTTAATTTTTGCATTATAGAAATGCTAAGAACATGTTTTTTTTTTATATTAATTTATATTTTTTTAAATGATAAAATTTAGTGGGTCTTGTATCTTCTTTAATACTCCCTCCTACCCTTTTCACAAAACTCAAATAATTATTTTATTAAGATTGAATAACTTAGTTAATAAAAATAACTATATATATATATAATTTACACGTCTTCAATAACTATACATTAAAATAAAACAATAGTTAAATTGGTTGAATTCACATTATATAAAAAATTATTAAAAATATCATTTTACCAATTTGATATTATGATGTCAACAAATTCTATCCTTAATTAATATATTTATTATCCTTATTTTATTGACTATGAATGAGAAAGGGAAAAATAGAATTTTTGAAATTCTTTGAGACAAAGTTAAACTCTTAAAAGGCTATACATTTCACCTTCTATTTAATGAACATATAGAAGAAGAAAAAACGTAATATTGATCATTGTAAAAAAGCCCGAGCTAAACATACAATTTGATGATTATAAAAAAAAAAATAAAAAATTGAAGGATTATTTTTTTTTAATAATTTTTAGTCAATATTATATGTTAAAAAAATGTGCTAGATAATGTGTTTTTAACGCTCTTTTTCTTCTTATTATTGTACTTTTATAAACAACGAGAATTCTAATTATACAATTAGACTTTAATATTATATCTTTCTTATAGGGGAAGTGTTGATACATTGGATGGTGGCATGACAAAAATTGTTTTATATCCTGATTGGATCTGAGTATAATGTATTAAGTTATCTTCTATTAGATTGCCTAGACTTTTGTCATGCTTTGGTCTTCAAGTTGAAATTGTTTCCTGAACGAAATTTATAGCTTCTGTAGTCAGAAATTATAACTTACAGAAATAAGAGAATAATAATTGTAAATCAAAACAATCGGTAGATAGATATAGAATTGAACTTTTCTATTTGATCATGCAAATTCAATCTATTTTAATTGATGACTAAGAGTGAAACATATTCCTTGAGAAACCATTCACATAACCTATCATGCAAATTAGTAACAGTTTTTTCTTATATAAAACTATTCTACAAATTAATAATGACATAAACAATGAGAAATTATACATCATTTAGGTGAGGATAACAGAGTTCCATATATTACCAAGAGGGGCAATGACATGAGGCACAAGAGCCCCAATTCCTTTTAGGGCAGACCTGAGGCAAGCCTAATTGCAAGTTTTAACATACTCAGGCTTAGAATCAAACTTCTTGTCAAGAACAGTGAGTCTATTAATAGTTGCATCAATCTTTCCTAGAAGACTCTGTCAATAGCCAATAGCTTATCGTGTTTATCTTTACCAAAGGATACAGCTGTCCTTCTGAAAATTCTCAATGACCTTCATTGAGGCTTCTTGCAGGATACCCTGTGACTCATAATAGGATATAAACTCCTTTGCCGTTGGAAGTTTCATTTTTCTTTTCAACGGTTTTAATCCAGCCTCCGGTACAGGAGATTCCATTTCTACAAAGCTTCCCTTGTTTAGTCACACATTCTTTAACGTAGAAAACAATGTTTAGCCAAGAATTAATTTTTGTTGCAATAGTTGAAATTCTCATTTTTCATTTCTCAATTTCAATCATTAATTTCATTAAATAAATCGTCATTTATGACACTATTTAATTATTCATAAGCCGAAACTGAGATAAATGTGTAATGGATTTATGTACCAGTAGACAGGTAGCATAGTGTAGATTAAAAAAAATTACACCACGCTGTTTAAAACTGGTTATTCAAAGAAAATTTATTTATATATGCTTCGGAAACAAGAACATTCCCATGGAGAATAAGGAGGGTTCACCAGATGAAGCAACAAGAAAAATCAAGATTGAATTAAAGAAATGGAACAACGCGACTTTCGAACAGAATACGACTGAAATAACACGTATCTATTTTAACAAAAAATGTCGACGTTGAAATTGCTTTACGCTTTCGTTGACGCGTCCTTCATAATTGGAAACTAAAAAGAACGCAACGCCTATCAAAAGCGAAAAATGAAGAATATATAGTTCAGGAAAAAAAAACGAGTAATCCCTAAAGAAGAAAACATACTCGAACAGAACATAAAAGTAATAAGAGAACCCTAAAGGAGAAAACATAATTGAAATCTGAAGCAGTCATGGACGCAGAATTCGGTAATATAACCTGGTCCGGAGGCGCTAGGGTTTACTTTTCTTTTGGTACTGAATAGGTTTCTGCCTAATGCTTTTATAAAGAAACAGAACGAAACTACACGGACTACGCCGGTGGCCAGATGGGCTTTTTAAAAAAAAAACTACCAAAAGTTAATGTTTTGGACCTCAAGCTAATATGGATTAACCCTCTTATGCTTTGGAACAAGAATAAAAATCCTCTCCATATCATGCTAGTCAGGCGGAGATACTTCGCACCTCTATATAAATTTTATTTCTAACTTTAAAATAACGCATGAATCAAATAAATTCATTCTTGACATATAATTGTATAAATAATTTTACACAATATAATATGATTAATTCAATCATTGTTAATTGATGAAGTGCATAATAATCAAAATATAATAGAAGTTGAATTCATATAAAAGAAAAATTTATGTTCTACATAGTTATATTTGTAATGATGGATTAAAATAATATATATAATAATTACTTGCAGTTTTTCCATCATAAATTTTTTTAATAGGAAGATCAAATAATAATTTCGCTTCAGGACGATTTTTAGTTTCCCTGCAAATTATGAATAAAATTAATGAAATTAACGAAATTAAATGTCAATAAATAATAAACAACATTTTAAATAATTAATAATTAAATTGCATAATATCATACCTTTCGATAATAAATTTTAATTCTTTATAAATATGTCATCCATAATTTCTTTAACTTTAAAAAACTGCATAAACAAATAATAGAGTGTCAAGTATCAATATGAGAGATTTAATATTTGATGTAAATTTTTATAAGTTATGTAAAAAATTACTACAACCTCAAAAATGGAAATATCTTATTTTGCATGAAAGTTGTTAATATGACAGATATTTTTCATTAATTTAAATCAATGTATAAAATAATTTTATGATTATTCGTCGATTTGAATTAATGGAATGAAGTATCAAATGATTTTCAAATTTTAAAAAAATTGCAGACTTAATTTATGCATTCAGAATTTTAAAAACGGTTGAATCGTTGAAATTTGATATAGAACATGAGTTATTAAACTCTAAACCTAGACCATGTTTTACATCAAATTTTAACGATCCAACCGTTGAATTTAAAGTTCTTAATACATAGATCAAATCTGCAAATTTTTTAAAAAATTTTAAAATCATTTGATACTTCGTTTCATTAATTTAAATCAATGTATAAAATAATTTTATGATTATTCGTCGATTTGAATTAATGGAATGAAGTATCAAATGATTTTCAAATTTTAAAAAAATTGCAGACTTAATTTATGCATTCAGAATTTTAAAAACGGTTGAATCGTTGAAATTTGATATAGAACATGAGTTATTAAACTCTAAACCTAGACTTACTCCTTACTCTTAGAGTAAACGGATCCCTCCTTATATATATATATATGGTTGTCTATAAAACTTGTACAGTAATTATGAATAATTTAACCAAATAAAATTATTAATTTCATCTAATCATTTAAAATTAAATTTAAGATTATCAATTTTGTTTAACTTTAAAATAAATTATTCACGATATATAACTTGCCAAAATGTTGTTACATCTGCAAAAATTCGATTTTTCCTTGTCTTTTACTCCTTCTGTCGTCTTTACATATTATAACAAAAAATATTGTGAGACCAAAACAATATATAAGCATTTACATAAATATAAAGAATTTGATTCTAAAGGTAATTAATGTCAATGTGTTATTTTAAATTTATAATATAATTATAAGTTATTTAACG